AATCTCGCCGTGGACAGGTCCCGGAACCGCGTGCTGTTCGCCGACGCGGGCTCCGACTTCGTCGACGTCCTCCTCACCTTCCTCACACTGCCGCTCTCCGCCATCCAGTCCTGCTCGGCAGGCGCGACATGGCCAGGATGCCTCTCCAACCTCTGCGACGGCGTCGAGCGCCTCAGGAACAGCAGGCTGCTCAAGGTTGAGGCCTGCCATGGCATGCTTCTCACACCCGCTCACACCGACGAGTTTGAGTACGTATACATGTCCTCTTGGAGTATATGCTACTCCCTCTGTAAACTAATATAAGAGCGTTTAGATCACTACTTTAGTATTCTAAAAGCTCTTATATTAGTTTACGGAGGGAGTACTATGATCTAAGTGTGCTTTCGGGTAGAGTACTCTTTCAGCTACGATTTACCTGACAAAATATCATTGTCAGGCTCTGTAAGTCAGCCAACAGTTGCTGCAACGAAGTCGTTATCAAGGGCTCCAAATGTTGCGTACGCATGGCCAGACTCCTGCATGTCTACAACCAAGCAGCAGGCAGCACAGAGACGTTTGTAAGCCGCAAAGAACGGTTTGTGATTAGTGATGACATGACAGTCAAACCGGCATCCACCAGCAGCCTGCAGTCGCTGCCTCAAGCGTTCAGTTCCGATGGGATCGGCCATGGCTTCGAGGAGGTCCAAGTGAGCGTCAGCTGGGAGACTGTAAGATCATCGATTTAGTACGTACGGTATTGCTAGGATCAGAGTCGAATCAATTTTTTTCTTCTACTTAATAGTCTGTACTTTCTTTTGGTGTAGGTTTTGTTTATGTTCAAGGCCTCCCTTTCTTCGGATACAGTACTCACTGATGCATTTCTACCAAATCTGCTAACTGACTGTCAGAAACAGGCTGCTGGTGTTTCTATGAAACAGATCACCATCAATCAGAAAATGCTACCGTTCGATCAATATTCTGCAGGCTCTTCACCAGAAAGCAAGATCAAGATCTTCTATCACACCGATGAAAAGAAGGTCATGTATGCCGAATGCAGCCATGAGTTCGTCGACCTGCTCCTCGGTTTCCTGACTTACCCTATCAGCTCAGTTATCCTTTATACCGTATTGCTCAACGACGTGAGGTGTTCGTTGCATCGGTCTTTCAATCTAGCCCCTTTAATATTCAGTTCCGACGAACGCTAGCGGGCAATCGTTGGGAAGAATGGCTCCATCTAGTTAGGAGATTGATGGAAGTCCAGCTTTCACAACAACCCGATGAATTACGCTGGAAACTGACTAAGTCTGGAGTATTTACGGTTAAATCAATGTATATTGATGTTATTAATTCAAACTCCATTCCTACGTCCAAGCATGTTTGGGATGTCAAAGTTCCTTTAAAAATAAAAGTGTTTATGTGGTTTGTCCATAAACAAGTTATTTTAACTAAGGACAACTTCATAAAGCGTAATTGGACAGGACCTACTAGGTGTAGTTTCTGTCATCGGGATGAGACTATCAAACATCTCTTTTTTGATTGCCCGTTAGCCAAGGTACTTTGGCAGACGGTCCACATTGCTTTTAGTATCAATCCACCGAATTCTGTTTATGCGTTATTTGGGACATGGCTTAATGGGATTGAGCCTAACTTAGCGAGACATATTCGGGTTGGAGTTTGTGCTTTGCTGTGGACTATCTGGACTTGCAGAAATGATTTGGTTTTTAACAGAATATCATGTATACATTTTTTGCAGGTCATATTCCGTACTACGGCACTGATCCGTTCGTGGTCGCTACTCACCCAGACGGAGGCCAGGGAGCATTTGGTTACTGGGTCTTTCCGCTGGGAGATGGTAGCTCGGGATATATTCAACCGGTTTGGATGACGGTCATGTAATAGGATAGGCATTTAGATTTCCTATCTATTTTTTTAGCCAGCCGGTTGTGGCGTCTTTCCTCGGCTAGTTGGTGTTTCTAGCCCCTATTGGCTCTGTGTGAGCTGTCTGTGCTTTTTTATTATTTGTGGAGACCTTTGAAACCATGTTAACACTACTTTATTTGGTTAATAAGATGGCCGTATGCATCTTTCTGATGCAGAGGCCGGGGAATCACCCCTTTTCCAAAAAAAAAAATCAGCTCAGTTATCAAGAACACGGGGGCTGGCACTCCCCATCTTGGCACGTGCCTTAACAATCTCTACAAAAGTGTTACCGGTCTCGACGAGGGTGGGTGCTTAACAGGTGCCCTCACCAAGAATGAGTTGCTGAATCCAAGCCTTAGACCGTTCGATCTTTTGAGCAACCTTGTGTGTCGGGCACTAGATTGCCGGTGTTTGAAAGATACGATGCCAGAGTTAGCGTGTTTTTGCTGCCACCCTGAGCTTGTTGAAGATGGAAGGTACGTCGTAGGCGATGATCTACTTATACATCAGGCGTCTGCCATGTCTCTGATGAAGCATTGGTGTGGGAGAGACAAGGCTATGGTACTGGAGATGGGCATTATCGTCAGGAAGCCGGAGGTACTCTAGCTAGCTTGTGAACTAGTATTACTGAACTAACAATTGGTAATTCAGCTTGCTAGTGTTTCTACCAATAATTTTGGTGGTCTTGCAGGCAGTTGCGCTACTGCGAGCCGTGCTTACTTCGAAGTCGGTGCTCACCGACGTATTCATCGACAGGCTGGAGGAACATTTCTCGCAAAAGAAGATACAGATATTCGCTAAGATCCCTGGGGGTAAGACGATAACCGTGGAGGTTGCGAGAGCCGACACCATTGCGACTGTCAAGAGCAGGATCAAGGATAAGGTGTCCATTGCAGCAGGTTGTCGTCATGAGTTGGTCTACGGTAGCAGATATCTGAAAGACCGGTGCACCGTTGCCGAATGCAACCTCGTCAGAGAATGTACCGTCACCTGCGAATTCTACAAGAAATGATACGTTATACAGCTGCCGGTCGCGATGAAGCTTGGTAGTTGTTTTTCAGTAATCCTGATGATTGTTTTGGCTCTTTTTGAGGTTGGAGGAGACATACTTTTCCTTCAACTGGTGTTTTTGGTGGCTGGACAACTGGTGTTTTCAGTGGCCCCGTCATGCATTCATATTGTTGCTGTTCAGTAAATCTTAAATTCTAAAACGGAAAGTGCAGTTCTGGCCAGTAAGAAAATGCGACGTGATATGGGCCTCCTGTAAAGGTCAGTCACCTTGTGCGCTTACAAACGATCAGGTGTCTTGAGATGTGAGTGCTAGTAGAATGCTACTATATAAGCTTCTGCGAGGGTGTCCGAGATATGATCAATGTTTTCGTTACCAGTCGAAATTTTGAGATTCCCCATGGTTACCACGTATTTCCATGCCCCTCGATAAATCCTCGTACCAAGCAAAAAATACCAATTTTTTAGCTTTTCTGAATTTGAACGCTCATCTTATAGTAAAGTACGTAGGATCTAATTAATGCCATGAGAGTTTGTTCTGACGTGTTGGTAGCAACCTAGTTTCTATTTTGAGGTCTCTGGTTTAAATATTTGTTCATTCACTTATTTGAATTCAAAATTCAACTATAAAATTCGTTCGAAATATTCTCGGCATTTCTCGGTAACCGTGGTAACCACGTTTACCAGTCCCCCTTGGTAAAATTGCCTCATTCGGTAACCAAAACCTTTGATGTGATTGACCTAGTAACCAAACTCGTAGGCCATGTATCCTTATTTATCAGTTAATAAAGCTAGCCATGATGGTTTTTTCCTTAAAAAAAGGCTTCTATGAGGGTGTTCTTCTTTCAGTGCTTTTTCTAGAATTTCGGAAAAAGTGGAAATGCATCTCGTAGTGTTGGAGATCTAAAATAATGCAACGCGCAAGAAGAAAGCCACAATATTTCGTAAATCTTTACCTACTAATAAAGCGGCTACCGCTTCTGGTCGTCCGTCATTAAAATTATCCTTCGAGTTGGTAAAAATTACCCACCAATCAAACCGGTAAGTGGAAAAACGATTCAACCTTTCGGACAAAAATCACCGCCTCCTTCGTTGCTTTATAAGGACGCGACGCGCAATAGTCACAAAATGAAGAGCAGCTGAGCGGTCGGCCTATCCCTCCTCTAGCGATGAGACCTGGGTTCGATCCCCGCTTTCTTTTCTCACGCATGTCGTATCCATGTATGTGTTCATCGGCCGCCTTCACTCCCTTGTTTATTTTTTCATTTTACTTTTTTGTCTTTTCTTTTCTCATTCTTTTTTATTTATTCTTCCTTCTTTCTTCTTTATTTTTAAATTACTTGGGGATTTTAATATTCTAAAAGTTGAGAATTTTAAAAAATGTTTGAGAAATCTAAAAATACGTGAATACAAAATTGTTTAGAAAATCATAAAAAAATTGCAGATTCAAAATTTGTAAAACTGTTCGCAAAATTATAAAAAAAATCACAATGTGGAAAAAATGGTCAGGAAATAAAATCATGTTCATGATTTTGAAAAAATGATCGTGTATTCAAAACATATTCGGGAATCTGAAAAAAAAAGTCCATGACATTTTAGAATATGTTCACAAAAATAAAAATAAAAATTTGTTTTTTTTAATTTGTTCCCCAATTTTTTTGAAAAAGTTCATCGATTCAAAAAATGTTTGTTGAGACAAAAAAAATTAATGAATTCGAAACTGGTTCATACATTTAAAAAGATTGTAAACAAAACTAATGTTCATGATTTTTTTGAGAAAATCATTTTTTTAAAAAAAAATTGTTTGTCGATTTGAAAAAATGTTCACTGGTTTATGTCTAGGATTTGTTTAGTTTTTCGAAAGTCTTTATATGTCTTGGCGTTGGGAGTAGTTCGGGCTCAATGAGATTTGCTTTTAAAGTTTTAAACGTTCCCTTGTGCAACATAATTAAAAGTGTGACATGCACTGGTAAACTCATAGCCTTGGGATTTACCGCGTCGAATGCATTGTGATCACGTAGACATCACGACCATCATCGGCTAGGGTGAGAAAGAATAAATGACAACATGATGAGCCACTATGTTAAAAATAGAGTACGCTCATATATCAGGATATTTAGTCATACTTATTTGATTAGCTATAATTTTTTGTCTCTCGTTACAACGCACGGGCATATTTGCTAGTATATATAATTTGTGAAGAACATCAACAAATTGTTTATTAACTGCAGAAAATGAAGGTAAATCAAGAAAACACTACAGAAAAACATATGTTGCCTAATGTTTCGGCATAAGCTGTGTGTAATTTATCAGGTACTCAACTTACCCCAGTGTAAGCCAAGTATGATCAAAAACATACAGGGCAAATGCATGGCCCTCGGCTTAGCAACTTTGCGCCGAGTTCCTACAAGAAAACTCTCGGCCTAAACAGAAATCTTGGCATATTCCACAAAATACACTTGGCATACACGTAAGTGTCGGCAAAGCAACTGCCACATGGCCGTTCTGTAGTTTTGAGAGAACTGGAAATGCATCTCGTAGTGTTGGAGGTCTAGGATAATGCAACACGCAAGAAGAAAACCATAATATTTTGTAAATATATAATTTGTGAAGAACATCAATATTTTGTTCAGTTAACTGCTAAAGAATAAAGGAATCGATGGAACATGAGAAGGGGGGATGAGTGTCTGGAATAAAATTCATGGTTCCTGAACAGGGAATATTTATCAAAATTTTAGATATTGGGGTGTCCGAAAAGGTGGGTTCGATCATATGAAAGAACACCAACATGAACTCTTTTAGGCATAACTAACTCCAATGAGCTAAATGAAGCATGCTTTTGATCGGGGCGACAAGGGTGGCCTCTAACCCCAGGCCCAAACCACCCCTTCCTCTCTCCATCATGCCCTCGCTACCATTGGTCAAGCCCGTGTAACGCGAGGATGGCGGTGGCGAGGCTCCCTCCGGCGGCTACTCATTTCCATGGTGCCAGGCGCGCCCTCGCTTGCTGGTAGGAGGCTCGGTGGTTCAGATCTCATCTGCATGGAGTTATTGCCGCGGCTCAGTGTCATCCCATGTAGGTAAAGCATCCCTAGGATAGCATGTAGCAGATGTGAGGCTGGATACTCAAGAGGAGAGCCCCTGCATGGAGCACGCTGCGGTGGTGCAGTTGCCCCCTCTAGGAGGAGGCTAAGAGATGGTCATCCTTCTTTACCCTTGTGTTTCTAATGGCTATGCCTTGGCGGGTTCTTCTCCGGCGAGGAGATGTCTCCTCGACACTCAGAGTGGAAGACGTCAAACTTTTGGGTGGTGGTGGTCGTGTACCCTTGGTTGCTAGTCATGCTGGCTCTCCTGGCAGTCGAGATGGTGATCCCGAGCATTCCCACATGGGGGCATTTGGAACCATGGGCAGCAGTCTGGATGGGATGGTGGATTATTCAGACGTCTCTCAGACGAGTCTCGTGGCGGAGGTGTTTGTTGATCTCCTTGCTTGTGTGGGCAATGGAGAGTGGTCCTAGTAAGGTTGTGGCGGCGATGTGGGCTCAGTGGGCGGGTTCTTCAACAAGGTCTGAGGGGGGTACAAAGCGAAAGTTAGGCGCTATAGTGTTCGCACGAGTTCCTGGCGGTGTCGAAGAATTCCCGGTCGACGGCGGCTCCCTATGCAGCGGAGAGATAGAGATGGGAGGGGGGGGGGGGACGAGACTAGGGAAAGACCTAACACGCGGCCCCGTAACAGTTCACCGACTGCGTTGACATATTTTGCCATTTGGACTTGATGAGTGGGCCCCAGCTGTCATAAACCTGATCAAATGTTAACCACTCAGCCATTTGGATTTTTTTGAAACAGCTAACCACACATCTACGACAAACAAAAATATGATAGTTTTTTGAAACCCTAACCCGAAAATTGGTGGTTTTATACTATTCCCTCAGCTGCTGGGAGAGGTCTCCCCCAATTTTGTTCGTAGCATCAATCTCTGAATAAGTGAAGATATAGCTGTCGATGGACTAAACCATAGAGTAGAGCAAAAATAGTGAAAAGCAGCAAAGGATAAAGAGTAAAGGAGGCCGGCTCAGTGTAATCGCACTCGCTCGGAGTAAAGGAGCACTGGAATTGGGGACAAAAGCCCTCTAAATTGCCCCCTCTGCTTTACTCCACCACCTACGATCCCCAACACCCAAATCCAAAGTCTCCACAGATTTCGACCACCTGCAAATCCATTGCGTCGTTCTTGGACGGACGTCCTCTGAACTTGTACGAATAGTCTGCACCTATGGACTCCATCAAGATCAAGCTCGCCGTGGACAGGTCGCGGAACCGCGTGCTGTTCGCTGACGCCGGCTCCGACTTCATCGACGTCCTCCTCAGCTTCCTCACGCTCCCGCTCTCCGCCGTCCAGTTCTGTGCGGCGTCATCGCCGGGATGTCTCTCTAACCTCTGCGACAGCGTCAGCCGCCTGACCGAAGGTAAGCTGCTCAAGGTTGAGGCCTGCCATGGCATGCTTCTCACGCCTTCGACCGCCCATGAGTTTGGAGGGTACGCATCTTCTCTTCCCACTCTTCTCTATATGAAATTACGGATAGGAATTAGTACATGATGATCTTGTTAATTCATTTTCTTGACCTTGAATTCTTGATTCTGTTAAAATTTACATCTTACCGTGCCATCCTCAGGAGCGGTTTCTGCAATTCTCATGATACGTTTGTCAAGAACCAGCCAAGCCTACAGGTAGATGGAGATTTCTGCAGGTGTTGGCAAGTCATGGCTAGACTCGTGCATGTCTACAACAGAGTAAGCTCTGGGTCTGGGACGTTCGTGAGGTGTAAAGAACAGTTTATGATTAGCGATGACTGGACGATCATGCCGGCGTCGACTGGCACCATGCAGTCGCTGGCTCACAACTTTGGCCCTGGTGCCATCCTCAATGACTTTGAGGAGCTGGAAGTGTACATCGGCTGGACGGAGGTAGCACCGATTATTTCGAGCTTCGGGCTCTTTTCAATTTTTAATTTTTTTCATACTTTGAACTTTAGTTGTGTGCATCGTATGATGCAGAGGAGGGGTGAACCTTCCTATTGAAAAAAAGGACACCGCTACTGCTAGAAGTGAATCATTTTCTCCACTAACTTGGATTCTTATTTTAGGTTGTATCCATGCTGAAGGCTTCTCTGTCATCGGACACCATATTCACTGATGTATTTCTACCCATGGGAACCGTTGATCAGGATGCTCTTGCCACGGTGAAACCGATCATCAACAAGAAAATCATAGTAGCTCCCAGTGAAGATTCCGGACCTCGTGCTCCACTAGAATGAAAGATCAAGCTGTTCTATGATGGGCTGGAGAAAAAGGTGATGTATGCTGAATGCAAGCATGAGTTTGTTGATCTGCTCCTTGGTTTCATGGCTTACCCACTGGGCTGTGTGATCAAGAACATGTATGATAATGGCGTCACCTCTCCTCTGGTCAATGGTGGTGGCTTCGACAATCTGTACATCAGCGTCGTCGAACTTGATGCAGCAGGCTTCATAATTTGCATCTCAAAAGTAAATAAAGTGGCAAGATTAGTTAGTTTCACCTAAAGAATCACCTGGCCCAATACAGAAGCCCTGCTACTATTTCTTTTCTTTGACGTGCCTAGTACTATTTCTTATTGGAATCCAGCCCACAGCTGCTTCCTTCGATCCTCGGCCGCTCTGGAGAGATCTCCTCGTATCAATGGCGCGTTATTAGGCACATACAAACAACAATCCTACGAATAAAGAATGGGATGCGATCGCGAGACAAGAATGAATGAAAACAACGAAGATGCATGCATGCGGGCGGTCGGTCAGCGGTCGGCGGCGTGGCGGGGGCGGAGGATGCGGCACTGCTCGGAGACCTTCTGCTGGAGGTAGTAGGGGTGGAGCGGGTGGTCGTTGGCCAGGAACCCCCAGCGCCGGCCGTTGCGCGTGATCCTCAGCAGCCGCAGCAGCAGCGCCTCCGCCAGGTCCCCGTCCCGGTCCCGCGCCACCCGCTCGATCCGGTGCCGCTCCTCCGCCGGCACACGGTGCTCCAGCGACGGCGCCTCCATCATCCCGACCCTGCCTCGCCTCGCTCGATCGGTCGATCCGCTCGTTCGCGTTAGGGTTTGGGACTTTGGATCGCGGCGAGAGAGACAGATTTGTCGTAGCCGTTTTATTTATACAGGGCCCCGCCCGTGGAGACAGAGGACAGAACGGGAATGTTTTTGGATAAAATATTATCCTGTTTTGGCAAGGAGTGATTCCCAGCCGTCCGATGCGGATGCACGTGGCATCACGAACCGCTCACTAATTCCACCATTATTATTATTATCTACATCCGCCTAGGGAATTGATGGCGCAGTGCTATTTTCTTCCCTGCATTCATGCACTGGTAGTACAAAAAAAATCCATTTATGCAATGGATATCTTTTTTTTTCCTTTTCATAGGAAGTAATTTATATTCTTTTATCCTTTGTCATTAAGTGTTGATTAAAACTGGATTTCTTGTGGCTATAAATATAATGCCAAATTTGCTCTCCAACAGGGGCCATGGCAAGGTTTAAATTCCTCAAGAAAATGATGAGCGCGCATTTACGGGCGTCGATATTATCCGATCTGGCAAATCGACAGGAGAGGACGAGAAAAATGACGACACACGCATTCCTTGCTGATAAAAGATGAGCCAGTAGCATTTTTACAATGGTCGTTTTCAGGAGAAACATAACATTTCTACGATGCTCAGAGGCATAAGATGATCATAGGCACCAGCACCAGCAAGAGATCGAGGAAGGTATGTGCCCGGTCTTACGGATCTGCGCCGCCTGCTCATCCGTTCGCTCCGCTTCTTGGCTCCTCCTCGCCTCCGCGGCCTCCCTCTTCGCCTCTGCTCTGCGTCTCGCTGACGCCAGCTTCCGAGCAAGCCTGTCGTGCTCGCGAGCTCGCTTTCTTTCCATCTTCGCCTGTGATTAGGAGGAAAATGATTTCATCAAATGCTGAACGCTTGACTTTTCTCTCAGTTTTCTTGCAATCTATTCGGCTATCAGCTACGTATGAGCCATACAGTTCTATTTAGAGATGGTTTCATATGTTAATTCAGAGAAACTAAGCAGTTTTTTGAGCAATTCAGAGAAACTAAGCTGTGCTTCTTATGCTGGCATGCTGCAGTGCCAGTGATTACAGATCAGACCTAAGAAATTGCATGATGTGCTTCACATTAGAAGTTTCAGTGGTATCAGATCATCAGGTAACACTTCGTTTCACTCCTTTCACTTATACTCCAAGCACAGTTGCTAATATCAATATTTAGTCAACATCTCATGATATACCTCTATGCTCTTCATTTCAGCTTCAATTTTTGCTCTCTGGTGATTTTCCCAAGCTTGGATCTTTACCTCTTCCCTCTGAAACCTACAAGAATTGCATGAATATAGATGATCAATGATCAATCTCGTTCTGGAGGGAAATGTGCTATCAAGATTATATTCACAAGTGTGCAAATATTTAAATGGGCCAATCAAGATAGTGTCTATCTCTTTGCACATGTGTATATTTCTACCAAATGACCTGATCAGAATGTCAAAAATGCAAGCTGAACTCAGTACTGATTTGAGGATTGTTACATTACAGTTACGCCAGTATCTGTCAGCGTTAGCAGATAGTCAAGAATGAGAAGAAAAATATACCTTGCAAGATACTTTGCCTTCTCTGCCTCCTGCCAATCTGCAGCGCGGGTCTCTCTGTCGATTTCTACAGCCTTATCAGCTGGAACATTTGGGAAATTTGCAGTAGCTCTCTCTTCCTTGCTTGCCCATGCAGCTATAGTCGTCTTGCCTAGCCGTTCGCCGAGATCCATGATTTCCTTCCTGGTATTCAACTGTAGCTCCTCCTCAGACATGCCCATCTTGCCGGAATCAATTGTACCGACACCAAATTCTACACTCCGGTTAGGAGTTGGCGTCCTAGTGGAGGTAGGGCTGGATGCTATTATCGGAGTCCCAGTCCGAGAGGGCTCCTGGCTGGCAATCGGAGTCATTTCTGTTCCCATATCTCTCATCGAGACAGACCGAATTACGTGTTCTGGTTCGTCGACTGTTGGGGCAGTTTCTGCAGGTTTGATTGAATCGGGCTGCGTGGAACCTGCAGATATTGATTACCCAAAACAAAGTCATCAGCACAGTAAATGTATCGATAAAACAAAGACACAGATAACAAATTTCCTTTCTGGTTAGCTGGAAAACCCACTTGAAACTGTTTGCTGAATAAAGAGAAAATAAGTGGTGAATAATGGCAGATTGGCTTTTCTGGCCTACTACAATGATAACATCAGAGCCAGGCCTTTTCGCACCACCAACTAATGTATCATGATGTTAGTGTACTTGTCCCCGATTCAGCCGGCACCCACAACTTCAAATTTGCCGCCCAAGAACTAGCAAACAATCCTTGACTCGATTCAGCATGCTGCATCATAAACAATCATGAAGCATGCTAGTTGAACCTCCAAAGTTCAGACACACATCTTAGGATACACCAGACACATGAAGCAAAGATATTGCTCTCAAGTGCCCACAGAAGCATGCATTTTTCAGCTCATGATCACATCACAGTCGTTATCAAGTAGTAAAACAGAGTAAGACATGATCAAAACATCAAAAGAATGACAAAATCCTACTTACCAACTGAATTATCAGTCAAGGTTCCGGTGTTTCTCGGCACCTCGGCGACCACCTTAGCAGCGGCCGGTGGGCAGGCACCGTGCTCAGGTAAAGCAAATGCCGTCTTCTTCGGCGCAAACCCGGCGGCGCTCATCACACGGCCAGTACGGTTCGCCGTCGGGCTCGAAATCCACTTCTCGGCGTCGTCCCACTTCGACGGCGTCGGCCTAGAGAACGGCGGCAGCAGACTAGATACTGCTGTCGGCCTCTTCACCGTTGTCGGCCCCGAAGAGCTGCTCTCGGAGTCGAAGCTGTCGTCGTCCGGAGCCCGGTTCCTTGATCTGTGGCCACTGTTGCTGGACATCTCGGTGGAGGTGGAGCATTCCAAGCTCCCTATGGACACGATTATTGGTACCCAAAGAGTTAGCGGTGTTCAGTAAACTGTAGAGGATACTATTTGATGAAGTGTAGTGAATTGGACTTACTCCGGTCGTCTAGCTCGCCGGAGTCGTTGGCCTCGGGCGAGGTGTCCTCGCCGGAGTGCTGGTGCTTCTCCAGCCCGAGAAGCATGGCTCGCAGCTTGGCCGGGGAGAATCCGCCCGACTGCATTGCAGAAGACGGAAAGAGCAGAGGAATTTAGCGAGACTGAAAGAAGGGGATCGGGACCGTTTTGTAGAGCGCTTTCCGCGGCGAATTGAACCAAGAAATTGCCAAATTTGACGGAATCACGGGATAATGGACAAAATTATCCCCGGCTTTTTAGAAAATCGTGCGCCCAAATATCCAAGACCCGTCCCAATCCCGTGCCTCCACAGCCACCCGGTGAAAGCTACGGCGCATGCTGACATACATAGATACAAAATCGTCGCCGAATTCAAGACGAAACAGAGCTGAGCAGAGCAGTAGCATCGACTGGGAGAGGATGGCGAAAGGGGAAACTTTTCAGCAAAGCGGGCGTCGAATTCAGGACCAAAAATGCAGGCCGGATTTGGGGGGAGAATGGAAGCCGGTCGCTGCAGGAAAACAGTCAAATGTGGACCTGTCGCTGGAAAGCGCATCGAATTCAGCAACGGCGGGCATATGCTTGCCTGCTTTCCAAGAAGTGGTCGTTAAAGAGGTCGCACCTCAACAAGGATACAGAACGTTGGTAGGGCTAGCAGCGGAAACCTGGCGAACTGCGCCGAGGGAATCCTATGCTGCGGATAAGGAGCGAAATCACCGAATCGAGCAGATCGCCGGCGCCCAACTGCCAATGCCCTGCAAACCGCGCACAAAACCAGAAGCGGCACTGGGAGTCGCCCGCCATGAGGAGAGGAGCAGGGAGGAAGGAGTACGGGGAAGAAGAGACCACGGCGAGCAGCACGAGAAAGATCCGATCCGAATGAGAAGGAAAGCAAACCGGCTGCGGGGAGGGACGGGGGGTAGACGGCGAGCGAACCTGGCGGTGGGGCGGGTCGTGGATGCGCTCGTAGTCCATGGGCGGCAACGGTGGGGAGTTGGGCTGGATGAGGAGGGGGGAGAAGAAGCGGAGGGGAAGCTTAACGAGCGGGGAGTGGGGACGTGCGAGCATGCGAGTGGTGGCCGGTGGGGATAATTAGTCAATCAAGCCTGCCTGCTTGATTAACAAAACAATATGCCTCTCACGATGCCATTGCTAATCAACCCAGCCCATTAAGACACGCGAGGAGAAGAGAATTGGATTTGGAATTTGGAGGATTGCGAGGAGAATCCGGTGCGCGGGTTCGGTTGGATCCTTTTCCCGTTCTCCCGTGTTCAATCGGGAGTGCGCGTGCGCTTGTGCTTGTCAGCACCCCTCTTCTCCGGCATTTGTTTGTTATACTAGTGACTTTGTCAAGCGCATCTCACTCTCTCAAGACCGCGCTTGGTTAAGCAACAACAACATCAGTACCATTTGGCATGCACTACTAATCATGAGCAAAAACACCACTGTACTGCATTTTGAGGAGACTACTACCACTAATCATGGATCAGTGGTACCGGCTCCCGTTATAATTGGTGTTTAAACTCTAGTAGTACTACTAATTCGAAGCAGCTCCGGTCAAGCCAAGTTAAACAAGCCACTTGCTACTAGCATCATCCTATTTTTACCGTTTATTTTCGTACCAATCACTCGCCGGAACTTAGTACAGTACCAAAGGGGCAACTGTGGCACGGAGTGATACCAGGTCGTGCAGCACAGTGAGGGAGCGAGTGTCAGGGGCCGCACGTGCACTGTGGAGCGGTGGTGGTACAATCTGAATCTGAGCGATGGGCTCATCAATTCGTTCGTACACGTACTACTGTACTGGGGAAACCCCTATTCTATTTTAGTCGGGGGAGGAGAAAATGTTTGTGAGCGAGAGAGAGAGAGAGACGGGCACGCAGATGGGACGTGACGGTAGGAGGGGCACACACATGAACCAGATCCTGCCTCTCGATTCGATTTCCTGTCACTGCGACTCGTCTATTCTCTTTCACTGGCTCCCTCCCACCATAATGGCTACTGTCTCACTGGGAAATACCCATTGGCTCTCAAGTGTATATATGCACCTTTTTTTTACGGCAACTTTTTTTGTGTGCACTTAATATGGAAAAAATAGTAATTGCGAAAAAAATTCAAATAATATGATCTTTTGGGGGGAAAAATGACCTTTTATTGTACTCGTATAAAATGTTTCGCTACGGAAAAACTGCCGTCGACTTCAGGGCAAAAGAAAATTTCAAGGGCAAAAAGTGTGAATAGTAACTTGTATATATATATATAGTGTTGATTCCATTTTTTTTAAACCTAGAATACCATGGAAGTCATTCCTTAACGGAACTTTTTGTACAAGCACAACAGAAGGTCAAATTTGTTTTCAAAAATGTTTCAGAATTTTTTTTACAATTTTCGCAATTAATAAATTATTATTTTCATTTCAGATGCATATACACCCGAGGGCCCTACGTTTGCTTCCTGTTCCAGTGAGATCCTTTGGTTCACATGATTCTATAGAATGCATGAAAGGAAAAAAACACGGAAATTGGATATAAATGCATGCGTAAGAGCATCTCCACCAGACCCCTTAAAATCACAAACTGTAAAACTGGGATACAGGTAAAAAAAATATTTTAAGGGTTCATTTTAGCTACAGCCGAACAGATACTGTAAAACAAAAAAGCATTTTAAGGGTTCATTTTAGCTACAGCCGAACAGATGCTCTAAAACAAACTGTAAAACTGGGATAAAGAGCTCCTTCCTCAAGTCCGGCCACTGCCGCCCCTTCCCCTAGCCGGCCACGCTAGCCGTGCCCAACCCCATCGGCCGTGCCCCATCGCCCGTCGGCCGAGCCCAGCCTCACCGGCCACGGCCCGTCGCATTCGCCATCCGTGTTTTGCTCTATTGCCAGCCACGCCGGCCGGCCCGTGCCCCTTTGCCTGCCGCGCTGGGAGGATTCCGGCGGCCAGGCTAAGGTAATGGGAGGCCACGGCGATGTCGACCTCGTCCAATTCGAATCGGCGGCGATCGATTGCGGCGTCTAGCGGCCTTTTCCGATGTGCGGTGATGAATTCCGACGAGTTTAGGGCGGATTCCGGCAAACTCCGTGACGGCGTGTTTGCTCCGACGAGGTTTGACCGGTATACGGGGCCCCTTAGGTTCGGCCTTGCAACCTCCAAATATAAGGGTTTCGGGTGTGTATTTTTGGTGGCCCTTAAAAAAATTATGGATTGGACCATTTTTACGGTTTCTGTTCTGGACATTTTTTTGACCAAAACTGTAAAACGGCAAAATTATAAGGGTTTGACCACTTATACGGGTCTTCTAGAGATGCTCTAAGAGGGTTAGAAAACACATGAATTTCCCAGATTTAAGTGTTTGGTTCGAAAAAACAGAAGAAAAAAACACAAAAATCCTTATAAACATAGTCTGGTCAAAACCAATCCACATGAAAACACGTAATTAGAATGTTATTAGGCCAGTAAGGATGTCATCATTAGGCCAATAAGGATGCCAGTCTCGTTCTTCGTACATATAATTTGAAAGAAAAGAAAAAAGCCCAAGCGGATTATAAAATTCCTGTGTTTTTCTTTGAAACCGAGACCAAAGAAAAATCTCATTCATTTTCCTATTCTACATTCCTTTGAACCAAAGGCTCGAGTAGTGCACTATAGAAAAAACATCCATTCCTATGTGTTTTCTCCACTTTTTCTTTGAACCAAAGAGGCCTAAACTGTTTCGTGCTGAATGTTGTACACTGGCTGCAGTTAACTTGAAAAATTGTGCAGCCGGATCCAACTTCCCAAAAGTGCCTCGAAACTCCATGACAATAACATTTTAGTGGATGTTCACTTTTTTTTTTGAGGGAAATGCCATCATGGCGGTTTATATTTCATGTGAAAATAGGGCTACATCATTTGTGATTATATCGAGCAGAAAGTCTGGAGCCTCGTTCTGCCACACAATAGTTCGCGAGGGCTCCGACTTAGTAGCCAAAAGATCAGCCGCCATATTAGCTTCCCTAGGGCAATGACAGAAACTAACAGAGATAAAATTACGACACAAGAAAGTACACTCCTCATAGATGGCTGCAGCTGGTCCTAAGGAATTGCCTCTGTCTTGCCTTATCTGGATGACCTCCATACAATCCGCCCTGATCTCCACCTTGTTGCAGCCGATGGTGTTTGCCAGAACAAGCCCATCCTTGAGGCCCCGTGCCTCGGCTGTCGCCGCATCTTGGACAAACGGGATGTTGCTCGTGGATGCCGCAACGAAAGAACCTGTAGAGTCCCGTATGATGGCCTCAGTCCCGTTGGTGCCACTGTCAGCATCAAAAAAGGCGTCGATATTGAGGCTAACAAATCCCTTTATTGGTCTCGTCCATCCATGTCTTCGTATCCTGCCCGCACCATGCTTCCTTGCCCTCAAGAAATTTTTGGTCAAAGTAACAATGGCTTGGGCCGATCTTCCAGGTTCTTGGATGGGCTCACCATGGGTGAATCTTCGTCGTTCCCACCATATATACCAAACCGCCACAGCCACCAGCTCCTTCATGGGCACACCCGGGAGCGACGAAACATCAACGCTTGGCATTAACAACAGGTCACCAAGGACCGAAGATCCGTCCATCTCAGTTTCGCACAGCTCACTTACGGTGGGAAGAAAGCCTAATTTTGCCCAAATCTCTTGCACTCTGTTGCATCTAAAGAAAGAATGACGAATACTCTCACAATCCGTGGCACATATCGGGCAGTCGGAGATTGTTATCATATGTCGATTGGCCAGGACTCCCCGACAAGGGATTGCACCATACAAAGCTCTCCAAACATGCACCTTGATCTTTGCCGGTATTTGAAGTTTCCAAAGAGTGCGCCAAACTGGACTAGTACTTGAAGACAATATGGTATTTGTTTGTCTCAACTTTCGTCCATGTTGGTAATCCCACTCCATGTGGTATGTCGTCTTAACCGAGAAAAACCCCGTTTTGTTGTAGTGCCATGAAACAAAATCCTCCATCATTCCTATAGCAAGAGGAATATTCAAGATCCTATTGGCATCAATAGGCCATAACACCTGTCGGATCAGTTCTTCATCCCGACATCTATTCTCCATATCAATAAGTTCAGAAACTTTTGTTAGAACAATATTACCTCTTCGGGTCATCACCTTCCTGCTTGGGCTGCTAGGGACCCAAGGATCATCCCAAATATTTATTTGCGTACCATCTCCAACTCTCCAAATGTGACCCTTCTTGAAAGTCTGAATACCACTCCATAGACTCTGCCAAGTGAAAGAACTACCTTTTTTAAGAGTGCAGTTAAGTAGATCACCGTCTGGGAAATATTTTGCTCTCAAGACTCTCGCACATAGTGATTCTGGTTCTGCGAGCAGTCGCCAGCATTGTTTCGCTAGGAGGGCCAGGTTAAAACAATGCACATCTCTGAAACCCATTCCACCCATGCTCTTAGGTACACACATCTTCCACCATGCAAACCAGTGCATGTGCTTCTTCACATCCTCATCTCCCCACCAAAACTGAGACATAGCAGAAGTTATTGCGTTGCAAATCTGTTTTGGGAGTTTGAACACAAGCATGCTGCCATGACTTCTGGAAACATGGCCATGTTTTTTTTGAAAAACCCCTTCATGTATTAATTAACTTAAAATGTTAGTACAATCATTCATAACAAACTTTGCCACGCAGGGCGGAACGGAATGAAACAGAAAACCATCAGATCTATTATCAAAACTAAACTTTGCAATCTCATGAGCCACCATATTAGCCCTCATGTTGATCTTAGAAATCTGTAAATTCACCAACAACTTTAAGACATCTACAGCTTCCTTCTTTAAATCAACAAGGGGTGATCTGTCCACATAATCTTTACCAAAAACGGAGGCCACAAAGAAACAGTTAGTTTCCAAAATTGTAGAAGGCACGACATTTAGGGGAACAGAGTATACCATCACTCGCACTAATATATATAGAGTGCTTAGTTGACAACGAGGACATACACAGCTAAACAGCCACAAAGTTGCTCCGACAGAGATGCCTAATCATTTGACGGTGGAGAAGCATAAGTGCATAACTA